CCCTGCAGCAATCCCCCCCCCCCCGCCCCGCCCCCTACACGGGTGCCTCCATCGGCTAATGGAGGAACCCGTGTGTGCTTGTGCCCACAGTGGCTGTGTGTGTCCATGAATGTTTGGTGAATTTCAGATTCATTGCTTTATATAAATATGCCCCCTGGCTTTCATAAGAAAAATAGAGATGCACATTAAAATCCACAAACAGAAAAACAAAATAGACATGCTCATTAAAGTCCACAGACCTGTTTCCATAATCAATCCGCGCTGTGATTTTCTTTTTAAGCTCGTTCAGTTCATCTTGCGGCAGTGTTCCAGACAAGATCTGTGATCTCCACTCCACCAGGTCACAGATCATATTCCTGACGCAGTTAAACATGTCACGATTATCTTGCTAATAAAAGGGAAACAAAAGTATTGATCTGACTTTGTGCACGCATACCAAAGGTATAGTTTACCAGAAGCTAACATTAATATTTCATTGTCTGAATGCTGCTATTGAATAAAGGCAAATCCATAGTCTAACGATATACATGAAAACAATCAACTTTGGGTAAATATTTATATCAACGTGTTCTGACTTTATATTGCCCTGTCCATATGCACCTTTTCTAATGCCAGTTAAACTTATCTGAGAATATACCACTTTTGCTTGGTTGTGCTTAGTAGAGATGCACAATAGTGGTCTTCAGCTGTATTCTGCAAGTCTGAGCTTCTAGTGTGTGACTGTACCTTTAAAGCCCATTTACACCTTTGCAAAGGTATTTTTTTTTTTTTTAAACATACGCCAACCATGTACACCAAGTGTACATGAAGTAGGCATTCGCAGTTTCTGTATTTGAACACAAACTTATTTTTGTCCTCCTCTTCATCTCTAAATGGCTCATTTTGAAATGGCCACCTCTGCACTTTACAAGCAGTCTGTGTATCAACACTCTCTCTCTCTGAGCTCTCTCCCCCTAATCATTATGGTAACCCCCCCCTTGACAGTGTATTGTTACCTGGAAAGGCAGAGCTGGTGTGCAGTAATCTTGTTACAATGACTCACAGGAAGGGGTTCAGCTGCTTTAGACCCCATTCACACCGGGGAGGTTCGGACACACGGATCCGCCGACATGAACGATCCCATACATTGCTGTGGGGACCGTTCATGTGACCGCGCGGGTCTGCGCGATCCAAACCACCCCCCCCCCCCCCCTGTTGCAGTTTCCATACAGCTTTGAATGGAATTGTGCTGATTTTGGGCATTTTTAATTGCGTTTCAGCACTGATTTTTTCAGTAATTTACCGCACTGATTTTGCAACCGCCCTGTTGTGAATGGGCTCTTATACTCCGACCCCAGCATCAGACTGAGTTTCCTGTGGAAAAAATTTTCCATTTGTAGGACTCCGGTCTACTAAAAAGTCCATTCAAATATTTAAGAAAGCCAGCAATGTGGGTCATGAAAATGCTAATCACTTACAAAGATGGAGATGGGTTTTAGGCTGGGCTCACACCATTTTCCGGACCAGATCTGGAACATAGTGCATTGCATTTTTGCCGCAATTGGAATGTAAAAATAAAAAAAACTTTTTTTTTTTAGCTTAAAATGGTCTAACAGGTGTGTTCCATGCGTTTTTGATGCGTTCCGATGCGTTCCAGTGCATTCCAGACCAGACAAAATAGGACAAGCGGTATTTTTCTGGTCCGGTCTGGAACGGACTGCGCTGGTGGGAACTGAGGCCAGAAATAGCATAGGGATACATTGGGATGCATTTTGGGTCTGGAAACAGTCTGGTCTGGAGGTAATCTGGATGTGGTGTGAATGGGCCCTTAAGGAGCAAAAGGCTACATCCAAAAGCATACCTGTTCTATCACAGTTCATTGATTAACTGTATGTCCCAAGTTAGAAACTTGGATAGTTCAGAGTTAGAAATCAGAAACGGCAGTGTGGCTTCTCATGTATAAACCGCTTTATGAAAAAAACATTCACCACTCCATCCATTTCAAGCTCCACTACCTGGGTATGCTGCAAGTCCTGGCTGGGAGTCATCCAAGCTCTGTAATCACTTAAAAGAGAACTATGGAGTAAGTGTTTTTCCCCATAGTTCTCTTAAGGGTCACGGGAGAACATATACTAACCTCCTCCCGTGACCTAAAGCTTGTGGTAAACTGAGACCACCTAGCTGGGACGGATCCCGACAATGCTGTCAAGATCCACCCAGCTGCGTGAATGACAGCTGGCTCTGCCTATCTAGAGGGAGAGCCTGGAGGATCGGAGTGGGGAGGGGGGAATCCCTGCAGGGAGCCATGACTGACAGTCACCACTCTCTGCAGGAAGATGATCGGGAAGTGAGCGAGCGACGGTATGTGCTCACTCACTTCCCGATCTATTGAGCTGATGTGTGACAGTTCCATTGTCACACGTCGGCTCGAACCATGAGGATGAGTGATTTTCACATGCCTTATAGTTCTCCTTTAGGACTAGTTAGCCCCTAAGGGTGAAATGTGTCATAGGTGGACAGCCACTAGGAAGGAACAAACACAATAGGGGTTGTTGGATTCAAATAAACTACGGTGGAACTAAATGGTGTGCAGCAATTGTTAGATACTGCAAGAACCTGTATATTGAGTATAGAGTAGTCACATGAAACATTTGTCTGCAATATTCCTAAACAAATCCAGTTTAAACACTTAACCTTGTGGCTTTCTTTCTCATTTAATAAACTGTGGAAGCCACTAAAATGAGTGGTGAACGTTCTTCAACATTGCTTAACAATGTCCATTAAGTCCAGATTAATGAGTCTAACTACTACGAGCTGCATCCTCTCTATAGGTCTTTCTGTATCTGTAATTGATTTTCTCACAATAGCTGCTCAGCTGCACAAAGTACTAAAGTAATTGTCTAACAAAGTTAAACATTGGAAGGTGAAACTACAAACTTCCATATGAAAATCTTTATTTTTTTATCTAGGGCTGCAGCTAACGGTTATTTTCAAAATCGATTAGTTAGCCAATTATTAAGTCCGATTAATCTGTTAATCGGATTTAAAAAAAAGGCTCCAGTGTTGGACTACTAGTTTGTATTGAGATTGTAGTCCATCACAGGAGCAAGCTTTGGCGCGTTGGAAGTAAAAAAAAAAAAAAGGTGTGGAATGCAGAATACCAGCAGCTATAGAGGAATACAACAAATCCCAGCAATAGTGCATTATAATATATTGTACTATTGCTGGGATTTGTAGACCTCTATAGCTGCATTGCGCTGTATATAATGTATTATTGCTGGTAGGGATGTCCGGATAGCACTTTTTCAAGACCAAGTACAAGTACTGTCCCTCATGTACTTGCTGATACCAATTACCGGTACTTTTTCTTAAAGGGACAGGTGAAATTTTTTTCTAAAACAATACAGACTAATTATTTTAGGGCAGTTTCTCCCCAGTGCTGCGTGCATTGGAGGTGACAGGTTCTGTAAGGTGACATTAGGGGTCTTTTAGACCTCTGGTTTCACCTTTCTACTTCACTGTATTAATTGAATGTAAATACAGCAGGCAGTGGCTCGGAGCAATAGCCAGCCTGCTATTGGCTATTGCAATTTAAAATATCCAATAGCAGGCTGGCTATTGTTACAAGCGTCCATTCCTTTTCCACTTGATGAAACTGTTTGCTTTTGGTGATATATCTCAGTGTCAGCTGTGCATGCTCCTTATCTGTTTAATAATGCCCTCACCAGACGTACCCAGAAGTCTTCCCTCTCAATGAAAGAAGAGAAGGTCCGTTATGTGTATAGGCAAGATTTACAGCTTCTCTCCTCTCCTCCCCGTGAGCACACTGAACGGACATTCTCTTCTTTCATTGAGAGTGAAAACTGCAGTGTACGTCGGGTGACTGCATTACATATAAGGAGCATGGACATCTCAAACATTGTGAATGATATATCAACAAAAGTAAACAGTTTCATCAAGTTGAAAAACGGAGGAGCACCAGCAGCTAAGGTACAGGGGGGAGGGGGGCAGCGGGGGAATTCACAGCCTAGGTCTCTTCTCTCTTCTCATGCTGGCTACAGAGGTCTGTGAAAGGGACACAGAGGTCTGTGAAAGGGACACAGAGCTCTGCAGCCAGCACCAGCAAGGAGAAGAGACTGTCCACACAACACTTACCTCCCGCCACGCTGTCACACTTCCATCCGGAGAGGTCAGAGCGGAGAGGGAGCCTGCGTTTGGTGGAGAGGTATTCCAGGGGAGAGGCTTTGGGGTGGGGGGTGGGGTATCAATGGCCGAGGTTAGTTAAAACATTTTTAAAGGGCCGGTATCTGATCTATGCATCGGGGCATTTTCAGGAGTACAAGTACTCCTGAAAATGCCCTGTATCGGCCCCGATACCGGTACTAGCATCGGTATCAGGACATCCCTAATTGCTGGGATCTGATGTATTCCTCTATAGCTGGTGTTATTGGAGAAGACGGGTATGATGGTGGAATGGAGTGCAGGAATAGAGAGGACGGGTATGATGGTGGAATGCGGGGCAGACATTGGGTATGATGGTGGAATGGGGTGCAGAGGACGGGCATGATGGAATGGGGTGCAGGGATGGAGAGGACGGGTATGATGGTGGAATGGAGTGCAGGGAAGGAGAGGATGAGTATGATGGTGGAATGGGGTGCAGAGGACAGGTATGATGATGGAATGGAGTGCAGGGATGGAGAGGACGGGTATGATGGTGGAATAGGGAGCAGAGGACGGGTATGATGGTGGAATAGGGAGCAGAGGACGGGTATGATGGTGGAATAGGGAGCAGAGGACGGGTATGATGGTGGAATAGGGAGCAGAGGACGGGTATGATGGTGGAATAGGGAGCAGAGGACGGGTATGATGGTGGAATAGGGAGCAGAGGACGGGTATGATGGTGGAATAGGGAGCAGAGGACGGGTATGATGGTGGAATAGGGAGCAGAGGACGGGTATGATGGTGGAATAGGGAGCAGAGGACGGGTATGATGGTGGAATGCGGTGCAGAGGATGGGTATGATGGTGGATTGGGGTGCACGGTGTCGGGTCCTCGGGGCACTTACTTGTCTGAACATTCCCTCCATGTCTGTTTTCTGCTGAACTCCTTGAACTTGGTGTAGGTATGGAAGACCCTCATGCTGGGCTGCTCCCTCTCCCCGTCCTCCGGGTCCCCCATCCGCAGCCGCCGATTCAGCCTGGATGGTAGCTCGTCCCCAGCCATCGTAAATCCATCCCCCGGCTGACACCTGTCGCGCTCACATCCCCGGCACCCGTCATGTGACCGCACCGTCCCAGCTAGATTAAGGAGCGCCAGGATTGGATGAGAGCCGGGGGCTGGACCACGGCTCGTGTTTGGAGCGGCAAACAGGCTAATAGATAGCCGACTAATCGACGATGGAAAGCGTTGACGTTTTCCATCGTCGATTTTAATCGACTAAATCGAATAGTTGTTGCAGCTCTAGCTTTATCGAAGACTACATGATCTTAATTTCATGTTTACTTGACAGATAAAGCTAAAGTTTTGACCACAATAAGCAAAGAAAGAAAACGTGTACAAAATCACTTTAGATTCTCTAACAACCAATCAGATTTTTTTTTTTCCAGTGAAGTGCAAGAATCAAAGACTATACCTTACCACTATGTGAAATCAAGAATAGAATGTGATACAATAAAATAATTTGTAAGATGTATAGTACTGACAGCTGTTTGAAATTACTTACAACATAAAGCTGCCGCCATATGATAGACCACTCGCGCAGTGTGTTGGTGACTTCATGGACAAGCGGAATCTCGCAAGGTGTGACGGTTTCATGTTGCCTAAAAAATTAGTGCAAAATCCAAAATGAACAGATGTTATAACAAACACACAATTAACTAAGACTATACCATTGAGCAGTGTCCAGCCCTGGAATAAGAGCAACAATCTATGACAGCAACCAACCAGCAATCATTCAATCACTGCCATAGGGATAAAATATAATTGGATGCTATGGGTTATTGCAGTTTATACATCACAGTTCTAAACTCTTCAAATTACTTTTTTCAGCAAGAACAAAATGGGAACATATTTGCAAGTAAACCTAAAATCAATAGAGTAATAAACGTACAAGACCAATAAAACTAAATTACAACTCAGTTTATATAAAATAGAAATGTATTATGCTGACAGATGTTTATGTATGTATTTCAGGATTTTATCTGTATTGAAAAAGCAACATCAAGCATTAGGTTTAGCAATCACTAAGCTGCTAATGACACCCTGACAACTGCTGCTGCTGCTATTCTTTTAAACCTTCACATGTGGCTGCAAGCAGGATTGCAGCAGAAGTGTAGCCAAGTGATTAACAGAAGAGAAGGCCAAGCATATGGCAGAGGCGATGGGACAGTGTGGAGGAAAACTGCAGGAGGCCTGGTAACATTGTGTGGAGGATTTAGGAGGACAGAGAAAAATCCAGGCGCTAAGAGGACAGCCAGACATGCAGGCACAATCCAACTACCTATAGCCACTTGCATTTGCAGGAGGGTCCTAAATGTAATACAGAACACCAGTCTAATAAAAATCTCCAGGGAAGGCAGAGGACAGGAATGTCTTCTACAAATCCAACAAAGTGTTACTCATTGCTTGTGCAGCCAATTACTAGGTCCAAGTATTGCTACACAGGAAGCAGAGAGGTGGGGGCAAAGTCCATGTAAATACTTTCAGAAATTTTGGATTTGTGCCAAAACTTTAGAAGCTCCACAATGGCCACACACATGGGAAATCTATGAAGAGCAATGGTTTCTACAGAAAGCGAGATCACCTATTGCAAAGTTGTCAGTTCGAATGCGAACATTACTTAGTACTGCTAGCAAATAAACAGGAAACTAGCTAGTTTGAGGGCTTATGCCAAGCAGTTAACAGTTACTCTTTGTTTAAACCATTTCAAATAAAAAGAAAGTTGGACAAATCCTTAGGTCATGCCAGCATTGTTCTGAAACTAACTGAGCCTAGAGATGAGCTAATCACTAATTGGAATAAGTCCCCCCACAAATTTTAATAAATGTCTTCTAAAAGTTGGAAGACTTTAAAAAAAATAAAAATTGGTCTAAAAAAAAAAAAAAAAGAAGGGGAGAAAGAAAAATTGCTTGAGAAAATGCTCAGTACATTTGAAGATAACAGGATCTAAAGTTCTATGAAAATCTTAACTTCTTTGATCAGTAATGCTGCCAATCGTATTATCAGGATCAATAGCAATTCTCAAGCAGCTTGAGTTTTACAGTGAAATCCTAGATTTACATATGGCTTCAGCTCCATATCTACTAATTGGTTTGACTTCTAATTTTCACTGAAGGTAATCTCTAATGACATATTTTTTTGATTATCCAGTTAGACCTGCCCATGTTTGTAACATGAAACCCAACCACAGCCAAAATTTTACCTTCACTTCTTGTCCCTCTAATAAGGGAAGAGGGAATGAGAAAAACCTACCCCACAGGACCAGAGATACTAATGTATTTATTACAGGTATTTATTAGGGCTGTGGAAATTAAAGAGTAATTTCTCGATCAATCGTTAAACTTTTTGATTGATTACAATTATTTTGATCGCTAATGAAAACACTCACCTCTCCGCCGGCTTCCGGGAGTCCCGTCGGGATCCAGTGACGTCACGGAATAAACGTGCTGGATTAGTGTGATCCTAGTTCATTTTATTACTTCATTGCTGTGCTGTATGTGTATAGGCCAATGTAGTTGGGTCTGTATGTGCGATATAATTAAATCGATAAAAAAAATGTTTTATTAAATCGAACAAGAAAATGTTAATCATTACCAGCCCTAGTATTTATATAGCGCTGACAATTTACACAGCGCTTTACATAGTGTACATTCACATCAGTCCCTGCCCTCAAGGTCCCTAGCTCACTTGCATACATCCGAGGGTCAATTTAGACAGGAGCCAATTAACCTACCAGCATGTTTTTATAGGAGGAAACCCATGCAAGCACAGAGAACATGCAAACACCACGCAGATAGAGACCTGGCTGGGATTCAAACCAGGGACAAAGCAGAAGCGCTAACCACTACACCACTGTGCAGCCCGGTAATAAAAAAAATGAATACATAAATAATGATAATAATAAAAAAAAAGTTTTTGTCTGCCGGACAGGCCATGGGCTTTAGGAAAAGGAAATGTCAGTAATTTTCTATTTGCATTATCTGCCTTCACTGTACTGATTATTCTTTTAGCATTTCTCACTATTTGACAACATGGCATTTACTAATGTAACACAAATTGTATGTAAGCATGCTGCAGGTTGGTGTCAATCCTTTCAGCAGGCTATAGTTGTGAGCAGTGACTATTTTCTAATGTATTCATCCTTGCAAAATAAATCAACTTTCTTGTTTTAGTACTCTGATTACAAAATGGATGTATAAAGGAAACACAGTCTAGAGATAATATTATACAGTAATCAAATGATCAGAATACTGATATTCGCCATCTGCGGGGTAAGACAAATACAGCCATAAAGCACAAAAGGTAATACAAAGTAAAGTAATGATGTGCACATTACAATAACCCATAGCCATCAAACAGAATACAAATATCACTAAGATTAGCCACAGACAATGAGCGTTTAGAAATGTGGCTGTCCCACCACCTTATGTTACTATTGTGTCCCTGCATATCTGGAGATAAAAGTAGGGAGGTTTAAAGAAGAGCCAGGATTTTGTATATTAACCTTTGCAAGGGAACTACTTCTGCACTGAAATGGTTAAGTGTTTGTTTGTGTCTAGGTTAAAAAAAAGTTAGACTCACCCAAGGCTCCGAGTCAACTTCTCCGGTCCTTTCAACGTCTCTCCCCCTCCTCTGCACAGCAGTTTAACCTCCCTGGCGGTATGATTTTTTATTTTTTTCCTTTTTTTGTTCTATTTGTTTTAGTTTTTTCATCTAACTTTTGACTCTCCCGCCGGTTCCACCCCCCTGCGACGTGGACGCTCGCAAGGGACGGAACCCGGAAGACGGATGTTGGCATCGGCTGGAGGACACAGCGCGGCTCGAGGGACACGGTAAGAGACGCACGGTGTATTCCCGAGTGTGGCTCGGGGTTACCGCTTACGGTACAGAAAATTAACCCCGAGCCACACTCGGGAATACAGCCAAGGAGGTTAAGGTCCCATAAATCATCACATCTATACACTGTGTATAGACGTAAGGACACTGAAGATTCCAATGCGGCAGGGAGGGGGGGACGGCTGTGGGGAGAGCTGGCCATCTCAGAGCATCGGGTGAGTATAATTTTAAATTTTAGAACCTAGAGACAAATGAACACTTAACCCTTGCAATGCGGGGGTAGCCCTGCTGCAAGGGTTAATACAAAGAATCCTGGAATTCATCTTTTACATCATACCATTGTAAACGAATCATTATGTGGTCCAGCTATAGTTACTTTGCATGGACCACATCCCTATTTTGAAGCTTTGGTATGTTTCTTAAGAAAGAAAGTATCTTTTCAGGTGCTATCTTCATGGATATACACCGATCAACCATAACATTATGATCGCCTGCCTAATATTGAGTATTTCTACAGTTTGCCACCAAAACAGCCCTGAACCTTTGGGGCATGGACTACACTAGACCTCTGAAGTTATGTTGTGGTATCTGGCACCAAGCCATCAGTAGCAGATCCTTTAAGTCCCATCAGCTGCAAGGGTGAGGCCTCTATGGATTGGACTTTTTCTCCAGGACATCCCATAGATGCTAGATTACATTGAGAATCTGGAGGCCAAGTCAAAACCTCACACTCGTCGTCGTGTTCCTCAAACTATTTTTAAACCATTTTTACAGTGTGGCAGTGTCCATTGTCCTGTTGAAAAAGGCCACTGCCATCCGGAATTACTGTTTCCATAAATGGGTGTATTTTGTGAGGAAAGTGGTATCTGGATTTCTCAAAGGCTTTTGATACGGTACCACACAAACGCTTGCTACACAAGCTGAGGGCTATGGGCATAGATGAGGTGGTGTGTACGTGGATAGAGAACTGGCTACGGGAACGTGTCCAGAGGGGATCTGTAAATGGCACCTTTTCACACTGGGCTAGTGTAATGAGCGGTGTGCCTCAGGGTTCTGCCTCAGGGTTCTGTGCTGGGTCCCATATTGTTCAACTTATTTATTAATGACATCGTAACACCCAAATAAATAAAATAAAAGTAACACCCAAATAAATGGCAGGACCCAAGATTTTCCAGCAGAACATTGCCCAAAGCATTACACTGCCTACGTTGGCTTGCCTTTTTCCTATAGTGCATACTGGTACCATCTTCTTCCCCCAGTTAAGTGACACACACGGCCTTCCACGCGATGTAAAAGAAAACTTAATTCAACAGACCAGGCCACCTTCTTCCATTGATCTGTGGTTCATTTCTGATGCTCATGTGCCCATTGTACATGCTTTTGCTCTGGACATGGGTCAGCATGGGGGCACCCTGAAAAGTCTGCGGCTATACTGCCCCATACGTATTAAACTGCAATGCATTCTGTGTTAGGACACCTTTCTATTGGAACCTGCATTAACTTTTTCAGCAATCTGAGCTATAGTAGCTCTTCTGTTGGACCGGAATACATGGCCCAGCCTTTCCTCTCCATAACCCAGTCACCGGTTCATCAGTTTTCCTACCTTGGACCACTTTGGCATGTCCTGACCACTGCAGACCAGAAACATCCTTTAAGAGCTGCAGTTTTGTAGACCCAGTCATCAAGCCATCACAATTTAGCCCTTCTCAAAGTCCCTCAAATCCTTACGCTTGTCCATTTTTTCGTCTTCCAACACATCCACTTTAGGGACACATGGTTTACTTACTGCCTAATATATCTTAACCAATTCCAGGTGCCATTGTAACAAGAAAATCAATGTTATTTAATCTCTCAGTGATCATAACGCTATGGCAGATCGGTGCATATACACACACAATTATGAGAACTTTATCAAATCATATACTGTTGGTCTGATGGAGATAACATGTGGACTATATGGAAACATAAAATATAGGTATCTTGTTTTAACTGGGTTTTAATGGTTGTTTTAATCTGCTGCACAATAAAAGAAAAATGGTTTTAAAACAGAAAGTTCAATGTGTGAATATATATATACACAGGGTTATTCAAAAAGAATGAACCGATATGACGCATTGCTTCAGTTTGCATTGATGTTGCCCGTGCTGCAGATGGTGGTCACATTGAACACTTGTAAGACAGGAAATAAAAGTTGATTGTGAGTATAATACTTGTGAATTGGCTAGAGTTTTGCATTACTTGTCCTAAATAAAATATTGCGTAAAGAAATTGGTTCATTCTTTTTGAATAACCCTGTATATCTCCATGGAGATAGAATCTGGGACTCTTCAGGCGCTTTCTTAAGAAACATATCAAAGACATTGTAAAGTACTTGAAGATACCAATATATGGATTAACTATAAAGGGAAAAGAAGTCTAATACCCTGGCTCATGATTACTGGAAAATACTGTAAAACAGCCCTGCCAGACAGCAAAGGCAGGAGAGAGACGCCACTTTCTCTTTTCACATTAAGGAATAGAGTGGTATCACTTCCCTGCCCCTGGGTGCTTAATGGCAAGTGAAGCAGTAGCAGCATATTAGACTAAAAGTGAATGAAATGGAATCTAGAACCCTGAATGCCTTAAGTTGCTGGCCCTCCCTGTTCTGCTTTGTGAAGAATTACAGAACTAAAGACATACAAAAGTATTTAATACCAAAGGTGTTGTATTTGAAATTACAGTTTCTCCTATTGACAGCTTATGCAGGGTAGCAGGGTGAACGTCTGGGGCCTCCGTGTGTAGCAGCCCTTAACAGTTAGAACAATACTGAATATCACCAAATGTGGAGGGCCTGCATCGCTATGCACCAAGCAACCAGACAGCTTCACAGCAGCATTTCTACTGGTCCATCAAAATTATGGACTGTCTCACTGGCCCAAAGGAATGTCCAGGAGACAGGAAGTCTGTACGTCAGAACTGCTAGATATGAAAAACCATAATTAAATATATGTTTCCAACAAACTTATATACCCAAAGGTTCACAAGCTACAAACAGTGGAATTCTATTACTAAACACAAGTTTTACCAAAGCATAATGACCACACGGTCCATTTATTTGAATTTTGAAGTTAATTTACCCTTTTCCTTCAACTGCGGCTTCTTTAAGATGAATATAGCTGGTAGGAAATATACCCTAAAACAAAAATAAATAAGTTATTAGAACCAATAAAATTAGTTTTTATCTTTAAAAGAAACCAAAAATCCTAAAAGGAACACTAACCAAATATTTTGGAGATTTTATGAAGGTGAAGGCGGCAGGATTTGGATAGTGATTGAAAGTGGGGAAGAAAAGTGAGGTCAAAATCCAGGATCACACCTAGCACCTAGGCATGGGGGGTGGATAGTTGTGTTATCAATCTCAATGTAAAGGTTGGTGAAAGGTGCATGGGTGCAGGAAATATTATGAACCTGAAGAGATGAGCTGTGAAGTGGAAAGATATATTTGAGTGTCAACAGTGACCAGTGGATGTCCACCAACTACAACCAAAATGGTCCTGCAGAAAACCAGGGGGATAGGGCCATTGGTCAAAGCTGTGCACTTGCCTGTGATTTCACAAGGGAGGATACTGTAGGCAGTTGGTGTCTGATGGTGTACCAGTACAAACAATGCAAATGTCATGGCTTCTCTGTGCCCATTGTAAACCTTATCAATGTTTAATAAAAAGATGGGGGGGGGGGGGGGGGGTTTTTGCAGTGATTAGCTAACTGGGTGGAGGCAGTGAACTGATACCTCTGCCTATATACAGATCCTGCTCCCTGGCAAGTCTATGTCCCAGAAGCATCACCAATATAGGGCGCACAGGCTCAGCTATAAGTTGTGTTTAAAATTTAGGCCCCTGTAGCTTTTTTTATTTATCTGTTTTTATAGAGAAGACAAAAGTATGGGGTCACATGTCGTGTATGCAGGCAATGTATGTTAGATGGTGGTGCAAGATAGTGCGAGATAACCAGCGTTACTCTCTTCCTTTTCTGGATACTTCAGCATAAATCCCCAGCAATAAATTTACATCCATTTTTTTTTTTACTAGGAGGCAACGTACCTTTTTAGATTTTTTCCTCAAAACGTATCCTCTGTACCATCCTGTAAAGAAATGTTTAACAGGTCAGCCAATGTATAGATAAAACCTAAAGAACAATTCTAACTTGGACCAAATTAGGTAAAACAACAGAATATCTGTGTGCTGGAGCAAGTCTGATGACTCCTCCTCCTCCTCATCTTCTACCCTGCTTTCAAACGTCATTGCCAATTATTACCCAACATATCTAACCAGGCCAAATCTGTCTGTACATCCTTCCTAGAACACCTACAAACACAGATATACTTTTGGGGGGTAGAAAGTGTACTTTTGTAATCCACTGCTTTCCTACCAGCCATGTCACGTCACATTTGGACATTGCTTTCTACCAGACACCCTAATAAGCACACAGTTGGGCCATTAGATTTGACTTGTGTAACCTGCTGCCCATTTAAGCCAGCTATTTGTGAGTTACCTCCCCTGCATTGCAAGCAATGGAGTCACAATAATAACAGCCAGATTTTAAATTCCATGTCCTAGGTATGTATTAACCCAGTTCTGCTAACATGCAGGACAATAAAAAGCTTCATTTTGTATCCCACTAATTCTGCCCACAACAAACTCCACTGTGCTATTCCTGGAGAAATAATTAACTACGGATTTCTGTACCAAGCATGCTTCTTATGTATTACGTAAACTGCAGAACTTAATAGAATATAATTAATTGTGCATAATAATTACAATGATACACACAGGACCAAATCAAATGCAGAAAGAGAATTCTAAATATAGATACACAAGTCTCATATGCAGTGTCTCAGAATACACTACTTGAACAGATAAGGTGTATCACAGACAAATCATCTGAAAGAACAAAAAATTTAATCAAAAAGGAGAAATTTAGCTTTTTCCCCCCAGAAGTTACAACCTTTTAACCCATTTGCCTACATATGTTTAAAATCATTCACTTATTTCATATGCACCTATAGGGAGTCTATGGGGATTCTTGCCTTTTATTAGCAATTGCAGAGAGCCAGCCATGATTGGGCTTTTGCCAGAATTTGAATATTTAGTCTTAAGTTATAATCCATTAGACGAACAATAAATAATTACTTCGCTTTATTTATTCTGAGTACTGCGTTTAAGAGTTCACCTCACATCTGATGGCTGCTTTCTTGTCAACTGCCTGACCTCACAAGCTGGCTCCCATCTTCTGAATGAACATAAAATGCCTCTGCATATTGCACTCAGTTAGCATTGTTCCCAGCTCTCTTTCTGAACTACAGAATTCCTTTCCCCCCTATATTATGGAGACAAGGAGAAGGAGAGGTGATTTGTATTCCTAATGTACTTCTTTTCCAAGGGTGACAATGCTGCTCTTGCACAGATACATTTTGGCAAGTGAGCAGCATCAATCCAGGATAGGACGTGAATGGAAAGGATCACCAGGTGAAAAAAAAAATGAAAAAAGAAAACTAATGCAGCCACCACATATAAATACCCGATAAGCTGCAATATATGACCTATTTGTTCTTGTGTTTAGATACACTTTAAACAAAACTAAGTTTACCTTAAATAGTAGATTTAAGTTTTTATGTTTCACGCAAACACAAGAGGATGCATAAACTGCAAAATCAGACATATACCATAAGCGAGACCACACGGGAAGTTTGTAAAGTCCTTTCGCAAACAGACCACCATAACATACTTCTTGGGGGTAAGAATGTCTGTGCAGCAGGACTCTAACACCATTCAGTGTGGTTTATGTCCCAGGCTGTCCTCACCGGCAGTGTGGGTTACCGTCAGACAGTTTTATGAGGCTGAGCCAGACAGTTCCCTTTCTTGTGAACAGCAATTCTTCCGAATTTGATTTCCTATTTTGGAGAACAGATAAGGAGCACTAGAGTACATTTCATTCTTTTTCAGAGGCCGAGGCTGAAAGTGGCAAATATCACACTAAAAATGAAAGGCACTGAGAGATATGGTTGTCTTTATTGGAATCACTGTGCCACCAGGCTTTGCGACAATCCTCTATAGTCAACTCCGCTGACTATCACATGCAGCACAAATGGAGTGAAAAGTAATTCCTTTTTTGCCGTAGAAAGAGAATGATACTTGATTAACTTGACTCCCAGAGGCAGAGGCATGATGGAATTTGTATATTTTCATTACAGTTGGAGTGCCAAAGTCTGACTACCACTGTTCTAATACAAATAATTAATACTGCCCTACTTAGCTTTGTAAAATGAAATTTAAAAACATTACCGGCATTACCTTCTGAAGGGAAAAGCCTGACACCACACTCTCCAATTTGTGGTGGCAAAAAAAAAATTAAAAAACACTGAACTCAGGAGTAAACCTTAAAAATGTATTCAGGTATCTTAACAAAAATGTATCTTATTTGTGTATCACTCGGCTGTAGATCCTCAAATCATCTCTGGATTGGTGCGGACACTGTCCTTCCTTCTGTAGGGTGGCTCCTCTTGTTCCCCATGGTCACCGCTCAACTGCTCACTCCCATGATGGACTACAATGTCAATACAAATGAGTAAACTAAACATGAGATTGTAGTCCATCCTGGGAGCGATGACTACTTTACAACACACACAGGGACCATGGGGAACAAAAGTAGCCACCCTCCAGAAGGAAGGACAGTGTCACCACCAATTCAGAGATGATTCAAGGATTTACAGTGAGTGATACACAATTAATTTACAGTTGTGTTTATAGTTAAGGTACTTGAATGGATTTTTAAGATTTACAATAATTCCTGAGTTTAGTGTCACTTTATTATTATCCAGAACCAGGAACCCTATTAAAGCATTTTAACCATACAGTAACCATCCGCTTCACGAACACTTGTGAATATCTGTTCTTCAATTGAAAAATGTGGTTACTGTAACATTTACCATGTTTATAACAAGGTGAAAGCTACATTTTCTACACTCCACCAGACACATTCATTTTTGTACATTAGCTAGGCAGAGGTGGCAATCGTTTAGTTTTACAATAAGAATGAATGGAGACCAAGCACTGTTACATTTCAGAAATGGTGCTATCAACTCAAAGTACATGTGTAAATCCAGCAGCTCACATAATACCTCAAATCTTAACCCCTAAATTAAGCCATTCACACGTAGAGACACCGTTACCTTGCCCAAGCAGGGAAAAGTTACAGTGTCTCTACAAACTCACCTTATCTACCTCTAATTGCAACCCTTCCACGGTCAACAATAATGTCCGGTGTGCATTGCAAAAATGCCCAGACCCACTAGCCAATCACAAGGCTAGATCATGGTCACTTGACTGGGGAAATGGAGTGGCTACTTACCTGGGTCAGTGACATAACTGCCATCTGCTAAGTAGCTGCAAGGTAGCACAGTTAAGGCGAGTATAAAAGGGGTGGGCAATGACCCTTACAGAGACCCTGTGGCTTTGCCCTTCATAGGAATGTTGACAGTATTTGTTTAAACGTACCTCCAACACTTAAGCCTTAACCCATGCCTTAATACATACCTTAACCTGTAATAGTCAGTTTGATGCTACCACTTAACCCTCACATCAAGATTGACCCCTACAGTGAGCCTTTTATATCCCCTCTAAAACCTAACCCTGACCTTGTACCCTAATCAGACCAAGTCCCCTTAATCTCTGACCCAAACAGAAACCTTAAAACTAGGCACTTATTCTATATATACGCCTCATCATGCACCAAAGTTCCAAACAACTACTGATCTAGTGGACCTGGAGCCTTAAGAGCTGATTCACACCATCTCCGTGCGTTCCAGCACGTTTAGTCAATGGCACCGCAGCCATGGCCCCCACCCAAAGTGTGATCACCCACTTTCCGGTCCAGTGTGATCACCAAAAATAGTTCTTGTACGAGCATTGCTGTGCAACGCATTCTGGTGCAGGCTTTGCACTGTGGGCGGGTGGGGGGGGGGTCGTGGCTGTAGTGCCATTTATTTGAATGCACTGCTATGTACCCTCCTGCCCTAGAATGCAGGGATCCGGACAGTATGCGATCCAGTGCATTCTAGCAGCTAACCGTGCTGGAACGCACTGGAGATGATGTGAATTGGCCCTTAGTGCTAAATTAATATTGTTGGTTTTGCAAAGCAGTTCGTTTCAGTTTGGGTTAATCAGAATAGTTATCATCATTCACTCACCTTCATGTGTTTCTAGAAGGTGCACAGTGTCACCGATCTGGAGATGCAACTCATCCGCTGCTTTTGCCTCGTAATTGTAAATGGCTAGAAAAAGAAAACAAATATTTCCTGTTATCAATTGTCTTCAGATTAATACACGCAAATTTTGGGAGAAAAAAAAATATGATGAATTCTGCACTAGCACAGAAGAAAGCAGTGACAGGTTTCTAAGAGTCCCATATTTTCCACATGCCCACAAGATCTCACATAATATGTTAAATGGTTGTGGATATTCAAGTATTTACATATTCTTAGCAATAAATTAACTTTAGCCCTTATGCTGCCAGAGAAGACTTTTCATTAGGCTCACTCATATAATATGGGTGACCCCCACCTTTGGACAATATGTTGCTGAAACTCCATGATTAAAATATGCATAGGTAGAGGTCACCTCCACCACAAACCATTATAAAAATAAAATAAAAAATCATTAGAAAAAAACCCTTGTTGGACATGCAGTTGTTTTTAATATAGAAAGGTACAGACCCTTAGCTAGCTAAGTCACATTTATATGACCTCAAGTACAATTATAATAAAAACAGCCTATTAATTTAGAGTTGGCGATCAGATTAAAGGACAACCAAAAAATAGCGGATGGTAACTGATAATAAATAAATGACTTATGTTGGAGAAGAAATAGCCGAAAAGCTTGAAGTACGCTTGAAGTATGGAGGAAGCCCGAGAGCCGATTAGCAGCACCTTTTAATCACCTAATCTGTGATGGTAACAGCAGTATCATCCCCACTGGTGTGCGGGGGAAAGGGTCAGCAAACACATTTTCCAATTTCAAAGTAAAAAACGAGGAACACCTTCAGATCCGACTCCGCAGCACAGAGCTGGAGCTTTTGAAAAACGTTCTGTAAACTAGACACTGCGGGTAACTGTTCAAAAGAGCAGTCATTGCAACAAATTCATCTAACCGCAGCAAAAGTAATATGAACAAGGAATTAACTGGCAAAAACCACTTACGTCATCTAATTAGTCAACTTTTTTTTTTAATATATTTTTTTTATTTGATGCAATAGGGAAATGCAAACATAAATGTAGGGTCATATATGTGACATGAGGGCTTCTTGTGCTAGGGATACATTTCAATACCAAGTTCAAAACGAATTTCTTAAAGTGCCACCAATACCAAAATTTAGTTTTGTATAGTGTGGAGAGGGATTAAAATCCCATGTCAGGTTTTTATTAGGGATGCACTGATACTGTTTTTTTCGGTATCGAGTACCAATATTTATTTTTTTCGGTACTCGCCGATACCGAACACCAATAACGGAAGTCCCATTAAGGAAGCCAGGCGGCGTGTAAAGACTCGCCACCCAGCTTCCCGATTAGCAGGGAAGCCGTCCCCATGCTTCTCATCACTAGGTGACGAGAAAGCATGGAACCGGCTTCCTGGCCAATCAGAAAGCCGAGCGCCACGTCATTACACGGTGCCCGGCTTCCTGATTGGCTAGCTTCCTGACCAATCATGAAGCCGTGCGAGTCATTACACGCTGCACGGCTTCCTGATTGGCCGGGAAGCTGCACCATACTCCCTTGCCACAAGTAATGAGGGAGCATACTCGCCAAAATACTCGGCATTGGCACCGATACCGGTACTAGTATTGGTATTGGTACATCCCTAGTTTTTATTGTTGCCTATGTCCCCATTAGTGAGATTCATCTTCCCTATTTGTCCTGGTGACCGTTATCACTGAAAGAAAATCTTAAGAATATTTTGGGTTGTCACCAGAACAGTAAGCGATGGGAAATCTTCCAATGGAGACTTTAGTTCTGGTGACCCCGCTGACCACCAGGGATTTCCCTAACTTTGGAGGGATTTCCTCTCACTTCCTGTTGTGGCTATTGGACAGGAAGTAAATGGAAATCTTCTAAATGGGACACAGGTGGCAATAAAAAAAGGTGACAGGTGCTATGACCTTCCCTTACAGTATCCCAAAAAAAAAGTCTTGGCTTCAGTTATATTTTAAGCTGGTCATGTACTATAATCAGCAGGACTTGGCCAAAATCCGAGCACTGTATGACTAGCTTAACATTGAACCGGAATAAAGAAGTGGTACAGACATGGGAGTGACCATACTCACTTTCTCTGACAATCAAAATCTTTAACAATATGGCATGGACAAAAATACTGATGTAAGTGCAGCATACCAATCTCTATTACTACAACACTTCCGTCTTAGGAGGGAGGGGGGGCAAAATGAAGAATTAGAAAGCCAGCTGGACAATTTTGGCAAGCTAAGCAGCCGGTAATGTATTGTGTCAACTAGAAATGCTTTTAGCATGGAAGCCAACAATAAAAATATGACAGGTCTAATTAAACAGGACATGCCAGTTTTATAACCTGGATTCTATTCTTCTCAAATGGTCTAATAATGACTTCAGTAAGAACAGTGCAGTTATATTGCCTACTATCGAACAGCTTGTCACTCAGGATATATCTCCAACGCAGAATACCAGGCTAACCGCTAAACGTACAAATTAAATACAAAAAAGAAAGCTGTGTAACCTGCAAAAAGATATGTATTTCTGTCTATCGATCCCAGAGATTTATACAGCTGGATAAAACCATTTACAGTAATGCAGCGCTAGACAAATCCCAGGAACAGGTAGTTAATGTGCCTTAAAAAAATATATATAGCTGGTGCCTAACCTTTGAGGTTTGTTCTAGTTGTTGCCAATGGAGCTGGATCCTAAAATTCTGCTGGCACCTAGATTGCACAGACTGGCTCCTGAAATCCATAATAAAATTGTCCACCCCTGCAGTAATGACCTCTTTTCACCCCAGCATGCTGGGGTGAAGACTGATGAGGTCATCCTTCTGCTGTGTCCTCCAAATCAGCAAGTGTGAATACTGTGCACATAATATTAACACACCTGATTGGCTCCCCTTATCACTGTCTAAGGCTGAGTTCACACCTAGGCCGCACCAGTTTTACGCGCGCTAACAGCATGCGGTTATTTGCATGTTTGCGCATACATGAAGACGTGCGTTTTGATTGCCAGCTCATAAACCATTGCGGGCAATTGAAGAACGCGCAAAAACACTCACGCAAATGTACAACATGCTTCTGTTGCACGTTTTTGGGCATTTCTATTTAAGTCTAAGGGGCAAAAAAAACGCTTTTATCTGCCCAAAGAAGCTCCTGTACCTTTTCAGGCATTTGACGCTTTTCTGCCAGATGTTTTTCTGCTCAGGTGTGAACCAGGGCCATTGAAAATTATGGGCTTTATTGTGTTGGGCAGTTAAAAGCACTTTTCAAACACCTATGTGTGAACCAGGCCTTAATGTTGCTGTGTAGGTGACTGCTAGAGGCTGATACAATGCTGTAGACGGGTGGGGGGGCTACTTTTATTCCCTATGGTCCCTGTGTGTGTAGTAAAAGTAGCCACCACTTTAAGCTCACTCCTGTGATGGACTACAATCTCACGTTTTGTTTACTTATTCTGCTAGTTTCACTCGTTTCAAATTTCAATAATTTGTACTAAGATTGTAGTCCATTATGGGAGTGAGCTTGGAGCGTTGGCTACTTTACAACACACACAGGGACCATGGGGAAGAAAAGTAGCCATGCTCCAGAAGGAAGGACAGTGTCAGCACCAATTCAGAGATGATTTGAGGATCTACAGCCGAGTTATACACAAATAACATACATTTTTGTTAATAGTGAAGGTACTTGAATGCATTTTTAAGGTTTAAGTCCTGAGTTTAGTGTCACTTTAATAAACTTTGTCACATGGGACCTTAATTCTAGGGTGCTACTCAGCAGATAAGGCATGGCTGGGATCATAGCCCTCTTGCGCTGCAACCAGAACAGAGAAGCACATTATACCTAGCATTGTATTGCTATAGGCTCGAACGCAGCAAGATCATAGTAGCACATGCAACTCTACACAAGACACAATTGAGTAAACATAGCTTCCCAGAATAGTCTTCACTAGTTCATACTGAACACATAATCACTGAAAATCACATTATCAAAGCGATGAAACAAGCAATTAAATTGGGGTGAACAGACAATGTGCTGGAAGAACACAGTGGGCAGAATGCACAAAACAGGCGCACAAAGCCTTGGATTAAGGAAACAAATGGAGATAATCCACCACTCGCTAATAAATATTTGCAAGTGTTAAAATGCTGTCAGTAATCCCGTAGCTCTTGTGGATAGGGATAAACTTTAAAGTTTATCACTCATATTAAAGAGGAAGGGGTTAGGTTACTGTATGTCATGTGCTGTGTGCCCTTTAACTTGTTGAAACGTGGCTCAAAATTGTTATATAGAGAGAGACGGCACTTAAAAGGTACAGTACGCCACAACTAAAGTCTGCTTTATACAAGACTAATTACTAATGTTAAAGAAGAAACCAGGAATTAAAATTAAAAATTACGTTTGCAGTGGGGTTCCCCCACACTGCAAGGGATTGAGTGCTCATTTTGTCTAGGGGGGGGGGGTCAAAGCAGTTTTACTCACCTGCTCCTTGGTCAACACTGACCTCTCTCTCCCTCTGTTTCGGCTGTGAAATGTCCCTCTCTATCCTCTAGTCTCATGCAAGTCAATGAACCTGCATAGGTTGTGATGATGTCAACCGTCCTTAGACTGCCGAAGACTAGGGGAGAAGAGACTGCGGAGACTGGTCTCTAGTGGCCCAGCAGGACCAAGGATCAGTTGAGAGTGAGTATCTGCTTTATTTAGCAGCCCTAGACAAAGCAAGCACTTAACCCTTGAAGTGGATTGGGGGTAGCCTCACTGCAAGGGAAGTTTTTAGAATCCTTACAGTTCTTCATTAACAGAAGTAGCTGATTTTACAATAGCTGTGCTGCACTTCAAACCATTTAAAATGTCTAAGCCTCCTATTCATACCTGAGCGTTTGAAGCAAACACTGAGTTTAGAGAAAACCTGCAGAAAGCAGATCTATCAACCCAAGCTTGGGCTGACTTCAGCCAGAAAAGCTGAATTTAAAGAGTCACTTTTAAGACATGGTGACTACACATGACCACATCCAGTCCCTATACATTACTTGAGTTGAAGTCCTCCCA